TCCCCTACTGTCCCTAAAGTCTGTAACTTTTGTACGGATGCAGATTCTGTTTAATAGATTATTAAGGTTAAGCCCTATATAAGGTTAGATAAAGAGGCCAACTTTGGCAACAATTCCTCGATAAACTTATTAGTTTAGTAGTGATTTTGATTTAATTTTGAATTTTCTCCGATATCATACAAAATACTAGATGACACGGTCCACTTTCTTGATCCGAAATTTAAGAGTTTCATGTATGTTTTCAAGAGCTTAATCATCTACTAATATTATTAAATTATCTAGCTCTTTTTTTAACCCTCCACCATGGTATTGAGGATATATTATGTTTATTTTAGACCCCATAAAGTGTATACAGGGTGAGATAAGAAAAAAAAAACTGCAATAAAGCCAAACACCATAACATTTTTTTTTTTAATTTTTATGAATGAAAGCAAAAAATGTCAGAAACAGCATCAAATTTTAGAATAAATTTAGATTTGTTCGAATTGGTCACTCACCCGGAGAAGCGCTTGCTTGCGGTGATCGACACTTTGGTACTTTTTAGTGCTAACCTTGCTTTCCAAAATTTTCCAGTCACAATTATTCAACGGATTGGTATCCGGAGATTTTGGTGGTCATTGTGCGCTCGAAATGAAGCGAGGAACCTCATTTTGTAACCATTCTTGGTTGGCGCGTGCTGAGTGCAATAGTGATGAGTCCTGTTGGAATGCCCAAGGTCTGCGGCCAAAATGTTTGCGTGTCCAAGGCTTTAATGCACCCTCCAGAATATTTTCGCGATAATATTCGGCATTTATTCTGATGCCACAGGTGATTAATACGAGTGGAGAACGACCATCGGCTGTTATGGCAGCCCACACCATATCTTCAGCTGACCTCTTTGACAAGTAAACACGATAATTTTGTTTGTTTACAAACTGCTGGACAACGAATGTTTTCTCTTCGGAGAATACCAAATTCGCCAGTTCACCACTTTCGGCCAAAAGTTGCAGTATAAGTTCTTGCACTTTTTGGAATTTTAATGACTTTACCACTGACTTGCGATATGCCCAGCCATTTTTCGGCCACTGCGACGTGGGTTTCGATCAAGTCGCTTCTTTACTTTTCGAACCATTTCTGCTGATGTTGCTGTTTTCTTCCGTCCATTTCCTTGACGTCGGGCTACAATACCAGTGTCACGGTAACGAGCGATGGTAAGAGGGCTATAGCTTTATCTGAACCAAATTTAATGTACTTTCTTCTAGACTGAATTCGTTGGTATATGCCAAAATTCAAGCCATTTGGACTGATATTAGCTATTTGGTGCACAATTAACCCGAAATCGGTTGAAGATGTATATGGGAGCTATATCAGATCTTGACAAAATTTAATACACTTATTTCAGAGCTGTATATAATATCTGATACCAACAAGTTAAAAAGCAGTAAGTTCGGCCGGGCCGAACTTTTAATACCCTCCACTATTTGCAACGAATTTGGAAATTTTTAAAAAATAAAATCCTTAAAAAATTCTTTTAAAATTTTAAAAATACCGAATATAGACGTTATATTGGGGTCTATACGACGTGGACATACATAGGCATCGTTTGTCATAAGCCATTACCATATTCAGATTCGAAACTTAAAATAAACGGTGAATAATGTAGCTAAAATCATCAAAAATTGGAGCTGTGCGAAGACCTGGACCAGCATACAATTTTCTGTCACAGGCTGTAGCATCCATTACGAACTTCAAATACCACATCTCAAAAAATTTCGGTGGCTATTGTACCTAAAATCGTCAAAATACCGAATATAGGGAGGAAAATAGGAATATAGGGCCTATACGAAGACCTGGACCTGCACAGACAACTTTCTGTCACAGACTGTAGTTCACATAACGAACTTCAAATACCAATTTTGAAGCAATTCCGGTGAATAATGTCGCTAAAATAATCAAAATACCGAATATAGGGAGGTCCCGTTATATGGGGGCTATATGAAAGCGTGGACCTACATGGCACATTTACGAATTTAACCTGCCTACTGGAAAAATAAGCATGTGTGCAAAATTTTAGCCATCTATCTCAATTCATTCGAATTCGAAAGATAGCGTGAAGACAGACGGACAGACAGACGGACAGACAGACAGACAGGAGCTATAGCTATATCTGAACCGATTTACACCGAATTTGAAGTACTGATTTCTAGGATGAAATTCAGTTCTCGTGGAGTGAATATTACGCATATATATATATATATATATATATATATATATATATATATATATATATATATATATATATATATATATATATATATATATATATATATATATATATATATATATATATATATATATGGGATCTGTAGCTATACCTGAACCGATTTGCCAAATTTAGTGTACTTGCTTCTATTTGGTGCATAATTAACACGTCCTTGGGCCAAACAAGTATTGTTTGGAAATTTCATTTCAATCGGATAATAAATGAGACCTGCATTTTGTTCACAGAAATACATTGATAGACGGATGGATTGACATGCATAAAGCGACTCAGTAACCAATGCACAAAGACATAATACCTTTACCACTATGTGGTATAGGGTATTAAAAGCGCACGGAATACATATATCTAGAAATACTCTTTATTGTCGAAAAGTCTGTTGGTTTTGATAAATACTTTTATAAACATGATTTGTTTGACAGATAATTGATAAGAAGTCATATCTAAGGTCAATTTCAAAAATCTGGCGGGCCGACTGTATGATCCCCTATACCACTTTTTATATTGGGAATTTATGTGAAGTAGATCATACAACTACGAACCTTTTTTGAGTAGCTTTCGTTCAGTTATAATTTGAAAAAATTGAAAAAATATATAAAAGCTGTAGATATATGGGAACAGAATTTTACCAAATGTCGAATTTACTTCCAATTGCATTTGCACAAATCCATCCAATTTGTGTTGATATTACATATTTGGTGCACAATAACTATGAAATTGGATGAAGATGTATATGGAAACTATATCCAAATTTGAGTCGATCTAGATATAATATAATTACGAATGTGAGGGACTGAAACACTAATATACATATAAATTTATAAGAGATATAGCTATATCTTAATCGATTTTCTCCAAGTTGAAAGCATTTTATTCTAGGTTGAATTCGAATTGTATTCTTATTTTCTTTAGTATTACAATGAATCGGAGAAGACTCAATAGCCTTATAACTATGACTATTCACATAAATAGTCAACGGTTCAGTAATTTCATCCTCCATAGTTTTAATCAATTCTGCCGCTTTCATGCTGGCAAAGATCTCTGTCGGAAACAATGCATTTTCCTCCACCTCTGCTTGGAATCAGTATCGCAATGCTCTTCCGTTCAGGAACGGTATTAATGTTATCTTTAGCTCTTTGAAAGTTCAACAAACTGGCATTATCCTGATGTGTCGTATGCAGCATTTTCTGTTTGGACAGTCTTATCGAACTTCGTGCAGCTTGGTACTGTATAACAAGTTCGACCGGATCGATGTTTAGCATTACATTAATGGCTGCTTAAGGTGTACTTTCTGATGCGCCTGTGATTAGAATTGAAGCTGCTCGCTGTACGCCTGAGAGTTTCGACCTACTCACCTTAAATTTGAATGCAGAAGTCTGTATTTGTTGGGTTAACCTTTAAGCCTTGCCCGGTATAGTAACATGAGGTATCGTTAAATGGGACCAATGTTAACCATTTTTCCAAAGAGAGAGTTTTTATTCACTAAGAACGCAAACTACTTCCTCATAGTAAATTTAGTTTTAGGCAGGAAGTCTGTATATTTCTGAGGTTGTCGCTCCTATCTTAAAATATATTTTATACCTATGCGCATTTTGTTTGCGAATAGCAACGAAATGAGCCCATAGTTATTCTTGATGATCACCAAAGATTTATACATATCTGTTCTTCTGTCCAAGTATTTTTATACCCTCCACCTTAAAAAAGAGGTTCCGTTTTTAACATCCCTAAATATTGGTCATAGACCCCATAAAATATATATTCATAATCAGCATAAAATTGTAAGCCGATTTAGCGATGCCCGTCTGTCTGTCCGATCACGATACAGCCCACATTATTTGACGCAAAGCTTCAAAATTTGGCAGAACAATTTGCATTGTGCCTAGGATCGTTAGTATTGAAAATGAGATATATCAGTCCGCCTTTTGGTATAGTCGCCATATAACGGTACCTCCCGATTTTCGATATATTAATGATTTTCGCCACATTTTTCCACGGATTTGCCTAAAAATTGATATTCGTAGATCATAATGGGTTCTAGCTCCGATACCACCGATATTCGGTATTTTGATAATCCAAATCAAATTTATCACTGTTTCAAATTTGGTATTTAAGAAGATTTGGAAGATGAAAATCTTTGCAGCATAAAATTGTCTATAGAGGTTCCCGCTTTTGTATGACCCCCATTCAACGTCCTCACCCAGTTTATGGTTTTTTGAAAAGTTTAACAGCATTATTCAAACGGTCTTACTGGCATTTGTAGTTTAAAGTGGGACACGTTTGAATTCAGGACCAAATCAAATTATTTTTTTAAAATTATTGTACTACATTTTCCGCTATAAAATCTACATGTTTCAATTCTATGACAATCCATTCTTAATACCTAATCAGGAGTTGCCATCAAAGCATGATTATATACAAATGATTTAAGATTCACAGATATAATATTTTTTTTATTAATTTAAACGCCACATAGATTTCAAAATATCCCTCGATACACGTTTTTACAAAATAATCACTCAACATCGTAATTGTTTTTTTTTTTTAGAATGTACACAATTTTTTAAAGCTTTTATCAATTTATTCATTTATTATCTACAATAAATACCACTTTTTTGTGTGTTTCCAGGCTGAATATGTATGGGTCAAATCGCAACAGGTTGGAGATAGTGAATTTGCAATCCCCTTTGGAGCACGTGTCGTTCGCACAGATAAAAATCGTACCCTAGTTACCGACGACTATGGCAAACAGTATTGGGTACAAAATGCAGATATTGTCAAGGCAATGCATTTGACATCACAGAATGGTGTTGAGGATATGATAACGTTGGGCGAACTGCAAGAGTACACAATACTGAGAAATCTGGAAATACGCTATAAACAAAAGAAGATTTACGTAAGTAATAATAATTATTTTGTGAAATTAATATTTTTGTAAAAAATATAAAGGTAGACTGATTATGGCAAATATGCCACAGCTATAGGGAAGGAATGGTATCTTTCTGAGTGATAATTCACGGGGTTTTAAATGGTGGTTTTTCATAGAAAGAGGTAATGTTATGGATGGTGAATGAGTAATGGTGGTTTTTTCGTGTCTACTCCGAAAAAAGTACTTCTGTAGTATGAGGAAATATAAATATAATAAAGAATGGATTTATGAGGGAATCACAACAATCCGAACAGTCATAAAAATTATTATTGTTTTAATTGTCAGGGAGAAGATCGTGTCCAGTGTGTTTTGGTTGCTTCTCACTCAACACAGCACGCGAAGCAGTGGACTTATTGAGAGGCGAGTTTAATGAACATCTTATTTCACGTTCCGGATTGGTCGCTTGGCCTCCAGGTAGTGTGATTTAACGCTTTTAGACAATTTCTGGTGAGGCAATATTAGTGGCTTATGTCTATACAGACGAACACGTTTTAATGGCAATTTATTCGTCAGATACTGTCCGAAAGAGTATGCCAAAATTGGACAAAGCGAATGGACCTAGTTTCAGACCTGTGTCGTCCGAGTCTCGGATGACCGTTAACATGTTGGCGTGTGTGAGAGCCGTTCGTTAATGTATAGTCCCCACCCCTCAATTCAGATCCACATTCGTCTCGTGATTTTAGGTATATTTAGGGTTTCTGAGACATTTTCAACCAAATTAGCTAAAATTTAAAATTGTTGATTCTCAATGATAAAATAATGAAGATCCATCCACTATTTGTCCTAGCTCCCACATTTTGAAAGTTTTTCCCTCAATTGTCAACGGAATCAACCGCCATTTGATGTTTCGGGTTCTTATTGGGTAGCATTTCTACTGGGCAATAAATACTTTGTATAGGTTCAGCATATACTTTAGTCGCCATGTAACCTTCAAAACCTCCAATACTTTTCCTTTTTTGAAGGTTTTTGCCTCAAGAGTAGCACCGGCCATTTTTTATATCCTCCACCATACTATGGAGGGTATATTAATTTTGTCATTTCGTTTGTAACTCATCGAAATAAGGATCTTAGACCAACAAAGTATATATTCTGGATCAGCGTAAAATTCTAATACGTTTTAGCCATGTCCGTCTGTCTGTCTGCCTGTCTGTCTGCCTGTCTGTCTGTGTGTCTGCCTGTCTGTCTGTCTGTTGTAATCACGATATCTTTCAAACGAATTGAGATAGAAGGCTAAAATTTTGCACACATGTTTATTTTGCCAGTAGGCCGGTTAAAATGGGCCATGTAGGTCCACGTTTTCATATAGCCCCCATATAACGATACCTCCCGATATTCGGTATTTTGATAATTTTAGCTACATTTTTCACCGGAATTGTTTCAAATTTGGTGTTTGAAGTTCGAAATGGATGCTACAGTCTAAGACAGAAAATCGTCTATGCAGGTCCAGGTCCTCGTATAGCTCCTATATAACGGTACCTCCCTATGAGCGGTATTTTAATGATTTTGGCTACATTATTTACTGTTTATTTCAAGTTTCGAAATTGAATATGGTAATGGCTTGTGACAAACAATGACTATGTAGGTGCACGTCGTACAGGCCCTAATATAACGGCTATATTCGATATTTTTAAAATTTTAACAGAATTTGTGGCAAATGTTATCTTTTTCGAAAATTTTCTAATTCGTTCTAAATAGTGGAGAGTATTCAAAGTTCGGCCAGGCCGAACTTACTGCTTATTTACTTGTTGCCATTCTTGCTGTTCCTATTTATATTTTCCAGATGATGTCTCTGTAATTTAATACTTAAGAAAATATAGACAAATTCCTGGCAAAAATTGTCTAGAGTAGTCCACCATTTTCGAAAACCCACTGCATTATGGGTATTTTAAATGTTATATCTGTAATTTCTCGAATTTTTAAGAGACTTTGGCATCTGTCCCAAATTTTTAGGGATTTTCAGTTAACCGACCTTACATCTATCTATATATATAAAAGAGAAGTGAAATTAGAGATTCAACGCCCATACGAAACGGCTCAAGCCAGGATCTTGAAATTTTGCAAAAGGATCAGTCATGATGCGTAGGCGTGTGATAATCGAAGTCGATTCAGATTAGGATATAGCTCCACAAATATCTTTATCTGATGTCAGGTTTATTGTGCATGAAATGGCTAATATCAGCTCAAATGGACTGAATTTTGGCATCTACGACTGAATTCAATCGGTTCAAATATAGCTATAGCTCCTATATATGTTTTAACCGATTCGGATCTGGTATCAATGATCTTTGTTACCAGATATCAAATACAGCTTTGAAATAAGTGCATCAAATTTTGTCAAGATCGGTTCAGATTTGGCTATGGCTCAAATATGAAGGGATAGGTCTGGAATTTGATGAAGATGTCCATGTTGGTATCTGTGGTTAAGACTTGGAGGTGGTTTTGGAAATGTGTACTATAATTGTCCGAAAAATACTAAATATTACTAAATGTGGTATTGATTTAATGTATAGAGTTGAAATCCCGAAATTCGATATTAAGGTATCTCTTGGTATCTGGTGTTGCTTTCGTAAATACGTACTGTTATAGTTTATAAATTATAAATTTTGGCAATTCGCTTTGATTCATATATCTCCATATGTGAATTAAGCACTGCAGTAACAACCATCCTTGGTGTTCGTTTTAATCCAGCTCAAGAATTTGGTAACACGAGCATAAACACCGGGAGCATTAGCCTGGCCGCAGCCATAGCCAAATGAAACAACACCTAAGAGGCAAAATAGAACATAATTATAAAAACAAAAAAATTCAATTATTCTCCATTTTTCCAAACACATACCAACCAATGCGAAACGACCCTCGTTAACCATCAATGGACCACCACCGTCACCTTGGCAGGCATCCTTGCCGCCCGATTTCACCAAGCCAGCGCATAGCATAACATCTTGAATTATGTTCTTATATCTGGTGAGACGACATTCTTGATTGGAAATAATTGGAACGGTGGCTTCTTGCAAATAGTTCGATGTTTGACCACCCTCCTTCAATAGACCCCAACCGGCAACAATCGCATTTTTTCCATCATAGGTTTGATTTGCATCTGGCAAACATACGGGACGAATTTCATCATTAAATGTTACAGGGGATTCCAATTTCAACAAGGCAACGTCATTGACAATTGTATTGGGATTATATTGGGGATGGACAATGGTCCGGACAACCTGAAGTGGGAAAAATATACAAAATTTAGTAAAAAAAAAAAAACAGTTTTAAAAGTTTTAAATTGATGACCATTCCGTATTCAGAAGAGATGAGCAAATATTTTTCATGAAAAATCACAATAAATTCTCATAGGAGGTATTAAAATCTTCTCAAAGCAGATCTTTTTGAGGAAGATTTCAGACCTTCAGGTAGATCCTCTCAAGAAAGTTCTTTAGACCTTAAGAACCTCCAAGGAAATCTTCTTTAGATCTTCTCAAGAAAGGCCTGAAGATATTCTCAAGGAAGGCCTCAGGATCTTCTCAATTAAAATCTCAAGATCTTCTCGGGTAAAATCTCAAGTATTCCTCAGGGAATATATCAAGATTTTGTCAGAAAAATACTATACCTTCTCAAGGCGGGTCTCATGATCTTCTTAGGGAAGATCCGAAGATCGTTTCAAAAAGGATCTCAATATCTTCCCAGTGAAGATTTCAAGAACTTCTCATGGAAGATCAAAATATATGTCCAGGGATGAACTTCTCAGAGAAGATTTCAGGTTATCCTCAAGGAAAATTTCAAGATCTTCCTTTGTAAGAGTTCGAGATATTCTCAAGGAATATCTCAAGAAGATCTTCTCAAGGAATATCTCAAGATTTTCTCAAAGAAGTTCTCAAGGTTTTTAAATAAAATCTCAAGATAATTTCTATGTGAAGATTTCAAGACTTTTCCAGGAAAATCTCAAAATCGATCGCGGAGTCCTAACAAAAAATATCTGCAGATCTTCCCAAGGAAGATTTCAAAATCTTTTCAATGAAGATTTCAAGACCTCTGCAAGGAAAATCTTTTCGTGGAACATTTCACTATTTACTCAGTTAATCTTCGGAGACATTTCGAGATATTCTCAAGATAATCTAAAGATCTTCTAAAGGAACATCTCAAGACTTTCTAAAAGAATATCTCAAAATCTTCTTAAGGAAGATCTCATAATCATCTCAAAGAAGGTTACAAAATCTTTTCTAGGAGCGTCTCAAGGAATATCTCAAGATCTCAAATAATTCTTAAGAAAATATTTCGATTTTTTTAAAGAAGATCCATTGATCTTCTAAAGAAGGATTTCCCAGATTTCCCAGAAATATCTATGGATCTTATATAGAGAGTTCTCTAGAGAGATCTAGAGATTGTGTTCATATATCTGATATGCATATCTTCTTAAAGAATATTTGTAAATCTTCTTGGTCTTTAAAAAGTATTTCCGTAGACCTTCGCATAGAAAAATGTGTAGATCTTCTTATAGAAGATCTGTAGATATTCGCGTGGAAGTTCCTTCCAAAAGTTCTTATTTATTGATCCTCCTTCAGAAGAACTGGTTTATTTATGTAACTATCGTAACTGAATACCCAATGATCATTGTTATGACTTCTCACCTTTCTGGTAATGCCAGGATCCCGGGATAATCTGTCCAATTGTAATAAGCGGATTGTTATCTCATCACGATTACCGTGGACACAATGGGCAGCAGTCAACACATAGCGATCATTAATCAAAGAGCCACCACAGAAGAGACGCGGATAATGGCGACCTTTTACCAACTGGGCTGTCCAGGGATATTTGTTTTGGCGAACCTGTGTGCCACCAACAATGCGATTGCCGATTGATGTACCACAGACTAAAGGAACAATCAAAAGAAACACAGATATGGAAGTAAAATTATTATTTGAGGAAAAAGGGAAATTTTTACAGGGCTGTATTCAGCCGCTCGAAACTTACAGCATTGGCTTTTGCAGTTGTTGCTTTGAGGCTTAGCGTTGCCAAAACCACTCTCGCCAATATCAGCATCAAAGGCAAGCAAAACTTGATCGAAGCTCCCTGCCGCGGTTTCACAAAACGTTGCATTTGGCCCGTTTGAGCTGCTGTCTCATAGACATATTGTCCCTGGACGGATACCAAAATTAGAGTGCAACCTACCAAGAATTTCATTATATTTTACTACAATTTTTAGAAAAAATATTTTTTTTTTTTACAAAACTGAGCTCTTTCACGTGCCCAGTTAAAATGTGTGCATTGGAAAACGATTTGTGTCTTTTTATAGGTTTGATTTTTTATTGATTGAAATTAAATATTTGTATCGTTTGCTATATTCTATATTTGCTATATTCCCATATATGTGCTTACTGCCCTGTAGTTGTTGGTTGTTATTTTGCCAATAACAATAGCATCGAAATAAAGTCAATGCTTCAGGTAATGCGAACGACCTAAAAGTATCTGTTTGGGTGTTTGTTTTCTGGAGCGACGGGCAGGGTTTAAAAGCCAACACCTATTGAAATTAGCTTTAGCCTTACAGTTCAGCCACGGCTAAAATAGCACATGATCAGTTATTTAGACTCTAGGTCTCTTTGGACCAAATGAGTTTCAGGACATTTGGAGTCTATCTAGCGATCCGTCTGTCTGTCTGTTTGGTGCTCACGATTACTCTCGAAAGAGTATCCGATTTGGTCCAAACTTGGTACATCGTAATATTAATATCATAGATCGAGTTCGGAGAAAATCGGTCCACTCCATCTTGTATCTCTCCCATAAAAGTTAGAAATTTTCAAAAAAAAAAAAAGCTGTAAGTTTGGCTGGGCCGAACTTTGAATACCCTCCACCATTTGGTACAAATTGAACAATTTTCAAAAAAAAAAAAAAATAAATAAATAAATAAATAAAATAAAATAAAATAAAATCCGTTAGAAATTCTGTTAAAATCTTAAAAATACCGAATATAGCCGTATATTAGGGTCTATACGACGACGTGGACCGGCATAGGCAACTTTTGTCACAAGCTCTTACAATATTCAAATGCGAAACTTGAAAAAAAAATCTGCTTATAATGTAGCTAAAATCATCAAAATACCGAATATTGGGATGTACCATGGTGGTTATAAAACGTGGACCTGCAAGGACAATTTTCTGTCTTAGGATGTAGTACCCATTACGAACTTCAAATACCAAATTTGAAACAATTCCGGTAAAAAATGTCGCAGAAATCTTAAAAATACCGAATATCGGGGGGTACCGTTATATGGGGGCTATACGAAGACGTGGACCTACATGGCCCATTTTCTGTTTTAAGCCGTTGTATCTATTACAAACTTTAAATATTAATTTTGAAACAATTCCGGCATATAATGTCGCTAAAATCATAAAAATGCCGCACATCGGGAGGTGCCATTATATGGGGGCTATACGAAGACGGACCTACATGGCCAATTTCAAAACCAAAGTCCTGCAGACATAATACACATTTGAGTAAAATTTTATCAACCTACTTCATTTCGTTCGGATGCTTGAGTGATTTCCACAGACGGACAGACGGACGGATATTGATAAATCGACATAGAATTTCATGCTGATCAAGAATATATATTCTTTGTGGGATCTAACATGTATATATCGAGGTGTTACAAACGGAATGACAAACTTAATATACCCTCCCTACTATGGTGGAGGGTATGAAAATTACTGCACAGAAAGGGAAAGGATAATCCAATGTTGCTTCAACTTTGCAAATTCTAATAGTTGCATTAGTGCTCAGATGCGAAAATGGACAAAATCTGTCCACTCCGTCAAGTACCTCCAACACAAAGGGTCAAATTTTTGAATAATTATAACTCTTACAAAATGTGACGTAAGAGTCTGAATGCCTTCAAAGTACACACATCACAAAATTTTTATTAACCCAAGGTATGGTGTGAATATGAAATATATTTGTCCACTCCTTCTGGTACTTCCCCTAAAAAGGGTAAACATTTTCAATATCCATAAAGCTCATACAATGCGAAATTAACATCAAATTCCATTCAAACTTTGCACATCTCAATATTTCTATCAGCACAATATCTGTTATAAAGATGATAGAGGTCGAACCATCCTTCATGTACCTCCTCCAAATGGTCAACGTTTTGAATAACCAAAACGGTTATAAAATCGGAGTCAAGCTTCCGGTTTTCTTCACATTTCACACATCCCACTATCTCTACTAACACAAGATCTCCTGTTAGGATGGGATATATCGGTCCTCTCCTTCTCGTACCTCCCCCACAAAGGGTCAAAATTTCGAATATCCATTAGGCTCATAAAACGCGAAATTAACAATCGATTCCATTCGGACTTGCTACATCTCAATATTTCCATCAACACAAGGTCTATTATTAAGATGGTAGACATTGGAACATTTCTTCTGGTACTTCCCCCACATGGGGTTCAAGATTTTAAAAAGCAAAACGCTCAAGGAAGGCGAAATAAATATCCAACTTTCTTCAAATTTCACACATACAAACATTTTTGCTAAAGCAACCTCTGTTGTGAAGATGATATATGTCTGCGAACCCCTTTGGGTACCTCACCCAAAAAGGGTTATAATTTTCAATACTTTTAACTGTTATAACTTGCGAAATAAGTCAGCTATATTTTCTTATGATTTCGCATAAAATTTGATATAAATGTTCGAATTCTAAAAGTAATTAATTTTTTTAGTACCAGGAAGAGTAGGCCCATAGATGTAATGGAAGTAGGTAACGTCACCGCCCAGACGATACGACTGAAGCTAGTATCATGAAATTTTAGATTAATGATTGTATCTGTGCTTGATATTTGGCAGAGGATTTGGAAATGCGTCCTATATTCGTACGAATAGTACTAAATAGTACAAAATTTGGTATTGGGTGAACAGATAGTGCTAGAAATTTTAAATCTATTGAGAGGTCGCTGTTTATGTGTAGACTGGTAGACTGGAGTTGGTTTCGGAAGTATGTATTATAACTGTATGAAGAGTACTGAATGGTACTATAATTGGTATTGGGTGAAGGGATAGAGATATGATTCTGAAATTTAATATTAAGGTTCGTATTGGTACCTGGAATAGAGATATGGAGGTGTTTATGGAAATGCATGCTGTAATTGTACGAATAGTACTAAAGTTGATATTGGGTGAAGGAATAGAGCTGAAACCCCGAAATTTGATAATAAAGCCTCTCTTGGAATCTGGTGTTGAATTCTGGTGTTTGTTTTGTAAATGCAGAAAGTACCGAGGGGTTCTAATTCTGGATCACTGATGGTGTCTACGATGTAGATGTAGCTTATTTTGGATATGCGTACTAAATTTTACTGAATTTGGTATTGGGTGAAGGGATAGAGTTCTAGGGTTTACATGTGAAAACGTTGAAATAGTTTTGGACAGAAAAAAATAGATGTGGGTCCATTGTGCAATGGTTCAACTAATATACTCCTCCTCCAAATAAACTTCAAATGGAAGATTTTGAAGACTCTTTGGTGTAAAAAGTAACCATTTTTCTATTATTTTATTATTATTCCCGGAAAAGGAACCAGTAAGAAAAGGTCAAAAGTGGGGAGGTGACGACTAGTCAGGCGGTACCGACCCTAAGCCACTATGCATATTTAGAAGAACTCCCGTAACAAAAAAAGTGTACATGGAGAATTTATGTAAAGTAGATCATACCAACTCTGAACCAAATAACATTGCTGTATAGTGCATGATATGACTTCGATAAGGATTATATTAAAGATATTGGATCAATATATATACCGGATCGAGTTTCACCGAATTGTAAAATTCGGTTGAATATAAAACCAGTAAGGAAAGCTCAAAAGTCGGGCGGGGCCGACTATATGATACCCTACACCACTATGCATATTTAGTAGAGCTCTCGTAAAAAGGTTTATACAGGGCATTTCAGAGCTATATGAGATATTTGGTACAAAATCAAAATCTATCTAATTCTATCGTGCATTTTACGAACTATAGCTATCTCTGAACCGGGTTTCTCCAAATTTGACGTATTAGCTTCTAGACTGAATTCGGTCTTATGTACGAAAATTCAGGTGATTTGGGCTGATATTGACCATTTAGTGCACAATTAACCTGAAATCGGATGAAACATATATATGGTTGCTATATCTATATCTGAACCGATTTTCACTAAATTTGATATACTTGCTTCTAGGCTGAATCTGGTCCGATGTACTAAAATTCAGTCCATTTGGACTTATATCGGCCATTTGGTGCACAATTAACCCGAACCGATTTTCTCCAAATTTGATATACTTGCATCTAGGCCGAACTCGGTTGGGTGTGCCAAAATGCAGGTAATTTGGACTGATAGTGGACATTTGGTGCACATTTATACCCGAAATCGGATGAAGATATATATGGGAGCTATATCTAAATTTGATCCGATTCTCACCAATTTCAATAGGGTTCGTCCTTGGGCCAAAAAAAATATTGTTTGGAAAATTTCATCTCAATCGGATAATAAATACGACCTGCATTTTGTTCACAAGAATACATGGACAGACGGACTGACATGCATAAATCGACTCAGAAAGTGATTCTATGAAGGTTCTCAAAAGTAACTATGGGTCTATCTCGTTTCCTTCCCCATGTTACAAACAAATGCACAAAGACATAATACCCTTACCACTATGTGGTGTAGGGTATAAAAATCTATTCAATTTGGGCTGATTTTACATATATTGTAAGCAATAACCGTAAAATCGGATGAAGATTCTTATCGAAGCTATAAATAAATCTAAACCGATCTTTTGGCAGAGGTATTTTTGAGCTTCATAAGTTATCTCGTACCAAATATCATTCTTGTGAGGTGCATATTACGCATGCGAGGGACTTAAAACCCCAAATCGGCTGAAACCTATGTATGGGAGTTAAAGCTATATCTAAAACGATTTTTTCCAAATTGGATGTACTTACCTCTAGACTGAATTCGGTCGGATATGCCAAAGTTCAGGTCATTTGGACTGATATTGGTCATTTAGTGCACATTGGGGTCTTCAGCGAATACTTAGAGGTTGTAGACAAATTTAATGTAACCTACATTCCATGGTGTAGGGTAAAATCAATATATCCCTTATGTAAATCTCATTTGAAATAGTTTTGACTTGGGTCTAGCTAAAACTAATAGCGAATTTTACGTTTTGAAATACCATAACTTTATATTTATATTAACCATACTTCAAACTTATATTTAATCAATTTCTTTTCTCTTTGCAGACCTACACCGGTTCCATGTTGGTTGCCATCAATCCCTACCAGGTCCTGCCCATATATACGAATAAGGAAATCAATGAATATCGAGGCAAAAAAATCAATGAATTGCCTCCGCACATCTTTGCCATCAGTGACAATGCTTTCCAGGAAATGCGACGAGAAAAGACCAATCAGTGTATCGTAATCAGTGGCGAGTCGGGTGCTGGCAAAACGGAGAGTACAAAGCTAATACTTCAATATTTGGCCGCCATCAGTGGCAAACATTCATGGATTGAACAACAAATTATTGAAGCCAATCCCATAATGGAGGCATTCGGCAATGCCAAGACAGTACGCAATGATAATTCCTCCCGGTTTGGCAAATACATAGAAGTTCGTTTCACGGAAGCAGGTGTTATACAGGGGGCCAAAATCGAACAGTATCTACTGGAGAAGTCGCGTATTGTTTCACAGAATCACGATGAACGAAATTATCACATTTTCTATTCGATGTTGGCCGGTCTCAATCCTGAGGAACGTAAACGTTTACATCTGCAGGAGCAGTCACCGGCTAAGTATCATTATTTATCGCAGGGTGGTTGCTACAAACTGCCCGGCAAGAATGATGCCAAAGATTTTTCTGATATCCGTTCGGCAATGAATGTTTTGTCATTCAGTGCCGAAGAGCAATGGCAAATTTTTAATTTGCTAGCAGCTGTTTTGCACTTGGGCAATTTGGGTTTCAGGGCCACCGAGATACGCAACATGGAGGCGGCTGAAGTCAATGATCCAGACAATGCTGCACGCGTTTCATCGCTGCTGGGTGTGTCCACAGAAATCCTGTGTGAAACACTCACACAAAAGACAATGATAATTCATGGAGAACATGTGGTCACTAGCCTTTCGAAGGATTCAGCCCTAGAAGGACGTGATGCTTTTGTCAAAGCCTTGTACGGTCATATATTTGTGCATATCATTAAACGCATCAACGACACTATCGACAAGAATCCTGTGAAGAACATCAATACCATTGGTGTACTGGATATATTTGGTTTTGAAAATTTCGAGGATAACAGTTTTGAACAGCTGTGCATTAACTATGCCAATGAGAATTTACAACAATTCTTTGTGAAACATATCTTTAAGGTGAGTAGCTATTTTTTATAAAATGTTAATATATAAAATATTTTTCATACCCTCCACCATAGTATGGAGGGTATATTAAGATTGTCATTCCGTTTGTAACACCTCGAAATATATACTCATCAGCATAAAATTCTATGTCGATGTAACGCTGACCGTCCGTCTGTCTATCTGTCCCTTTATCCGTCCGTCTGTGGAAATCATTCTTGCTTCCGAACGATTTGAAGTAGGTTGATAAAATTTTACTCAAATGTGTCCTTCGACTACAGGACTGACTTTTGGTATTGAAAAAGGGCAATAGAGGTCAAAGTTTAGTTATAGCACCGATATGACTTTATCTCTTTATATTCGGACAGAAAAATTGTGTATGCAGGTCCACGTCTTCGAATAGATCCCAATATAACGGTAACTCCCTATGTTCGGTAATTTTAAGATTTTAACGGCTTTTATTTTATTATTATTATTATTTTTTATACCCTCCACCTTGGAAAGGAGGGTATATTAACTTTGTCATTCCGTTTGTAACATCCTTAAATATTCGTTTTAGACCCCATAAAGTATATATATTCATAATCAGCATAAAATTCTAAGTCGATTTAACGATGTCCGTCTGTCTGTCTGTCCGTCTGTCTGTCTGTTGAAATCACGATACAGCCCACGTTATTTGACGTAGAGCGCCAAAATTTAGCAGAGCTATTTGCATTGTGTCTAGGATGGTTGGTATTGAAAATGAGATATATCGGTCCACGTTCTGGTATAGTCCCCATATAACGGTACCTCCCGATATTCGGTATTTTGATGATTTATGCCACATTTTTTCACGGATTTGTCTGGAAATTGGTATTCGTAGGTCGTAACGGGTCCCTGAGCTTGTGGCAAAACATTGCATGTATAGGTCCACGTTGTGGTATAGCCCCCATATAAAGGTACCTCCCGATATTCGGTATTTTAGTTTTTTTTTTTTTGCCACATTTTTTCACGGATTTGTCTAAAAATTAGTATTTGTGGGTCATAATGGTTTCCAGCTCCGGTGGCGAAACATTGCAGGTATGGGTCCATGATTTGGTATAGCCCCCATATAACGGTACATCCCGATATTCGGTAATTTGATGATTTTTGCCACATTTTTTCACGGATTTGTCTAAAATTGGGTAGTTGTTGGTCATAATGGGTTCCAACTCCGGTGGCGTTACATTGCATGTATGGGTCCATGATTTGGTATAGCCCACATATAACGGTACCACGGTATGATTTTTGCCACATTTTTTCACGGATTTGTCCGAAAATTGGTATTTGTTAGTCATAATGGGTTCCAGCTCCGGTGGCGAAACATTGCATGCATGGGTCCATGATTTGATATAGCCCCCATATAACGGTACATCCAGATATTCGGTATTTTTATGGTTTTTGCCACATTTTTTCACTGATTTGTCTAAAAATTGGTATTTGTGGGTCATAATGTGTCCTCGTGTAGCGAAACATTGTAATTATAGGTCCACGTTTTGGTATAGCCCCCATATAACGGTACCTTCCGATATTCGTTAATTTAATGGTTTTTGCCACATTTCTTCTAATGTTTCTTTTACCCTAAGGTGGAAGGTATTATAAGTTTGGCCCGGCCGAATTTAAGGTTCTTTATTTGCTTTTTTTTTTTGAGAGTTTCCAAATTTGTTGCAAATGGCAGAGGGTATTAAAAGTTCGGTCCGTGCGAACTTACTGCTTTTTTATACCCTACAACACTATATGTTGGGGGTGTAATAAGTTTGATTGGGCCAAAAATTATGTAACACCTCGAAATATTGGTTTCCCACATAGGAATGTATATATGGATCTTCCTATCTCGCCGAGCTGAGTCGATCTCGCTATGTATGTCCGTCCGTCCGTCTGTCCATGTTAATTTGTAATCCTCACGAAATTTGGAGGTGGAGTTAGTGTCAGAATAGAAGCCTATTGCTTTCGGAGATGTTCGCGTAATATTTAGGGGTTGAAATAAATAACAAGCTGAAAATTTTCCTGATTTTGCAGTTGTTGTACTGATCGCAATTTTAGACCAATCGGTGCGAAAGTTATCATTATCAGTTAGAAGCCTTCCAATTTTGATGGTCATCGGGTAATATTTAGTGGGTGAAATAGACCGTAACATTTGGGTTAAATATAAGTAAAATTTTCCATTAAACAGCGAATATATTTAAAAGCTTGAAATCCCTCCACCATTTGGAAAAATACCGAATGTAACCGTTATATTAGGGTCGATATGACGACGTGGACCTGCATGGGCAACTTTTGTCATAATTACATTACAATATTCAAATGTGAAACTTGAAAAAAAAAAAAAACGGTGAATAATGTAGCTAAAATCATCAAAATACTACATATCGGAGGTACCGTTATATGGGGGCTACACCAAAACGTCGACCTGCACACACAATTGCCAAATTTGAAACAATTCCGCTGAATAATGTCGCTAAAATCATCAAAATACGGAATATCGGGAGGTGCCCTTATATTGGGACTATACGAAGGCGTGGACATGCACAGACAATTTCTGTCATAGCCTGTAGTATTCATTACGAACTTCAATTACCAAATTCGAAACAATTCCGGTGAACAATGTCCGGTGAATTTTATGCTGATCAAGAATATATATACTTTGTGGGGTTTAAAATGTATATTTCGAAGTTTTACAAACGAATATTCCCTCTATACTATGGATATAATATACCCTCCAAACTAGGATAACAATACTACTGCACATAAATGTGAAAAATACAACTCTGAAGCTAAAGTCCTGTTGTAGAGTTGTTTTGTTAATTTATTTTATATTTTTTTACATTTTTTTATAAAGAGAACATTTTTTCACAATATCGAGTTCTTCCTATGACTTATTTTTTTTCCTTCCAAAATTCAAAATTTCCAAATTATTTTGAATATTATTATGAAATATCTGTGTATGTGTTTTGATATTACAAGGTTACGATAAGAAATAATTGTATCCAGGTAAAGGGCAGTTTCCACATCGTTTTAGAGTCATATGTAAAGTGATTTACACCTAAGTCTGTTTTTACACGGTAGATTGGTTCCAGAAGAAGCCGTGTAAAAAAAAACCGTGTAAAAAAGACATTGATCTTATACAAAAATGGGTGATTTGTTCCTAATCTCTAAAACCTATTAAAATTAGTGAAAAACAAGAATTTTAATTTTTTTCTTTACCAAACACGTCTTATTGCATTAACAGTTCACAAAATATTAACACGTTTCAATTGCTCTGACCAGTAAATTTTATTGTATGCACATAGTGCTATTCACATTTGCTTTGACCAGTAAAAATTGTTTGTACGCGCTAAAGGGGAATTCACTTAAATCTTTAAGCTAGTGTTCGCAAACTATCGATGGTTTCAGACTTTTTTCTTTCATAAATACTTTTTTGTGATATGAACATACTTCGCAAAAATTAAATTTGACAAAAAAATTTAAGTACATAAAATTTCAAATCGTGCTAAATGGAATAAAATCGTGTAAATAAATTAAAAATATTCAATTTTCAAACCGTGTTATATCAAAACCGTGTACTTAAAGACCGTGTAAAAACAGACTTAGGTGTACTCACATTTTATAATTACCATTTTTGTAGCAGCATTTTAAGCGCACCCAACAATTTTTAAACGTAAACAAAATGCTATAATTTATAAAATACTAGCTAAACCCGGTGCGC